AATCGTGAAAAACGAAAAATTGATTTGAACACAAATCGATTTCAATACTAATTTTAAAGTAAAAACTCCCTCAATTTTCAAGCAATCTAATACAAACTTCACTCAATTGTAGACAACAATAAGTTGATTGTTTAAAGTCATTTAACTTGATAATTGTGTCCATCCATATAGTGAAAACCCGCGTAAATAGCGAAAATGGCCATTTTTAGTGGTTTCTTTCTTATTTTTCGCTGATTTTTCAACCAATTTTCATCAAACTTAACACTTGCTTTATAAAGGTATCCTCTTTTATATCCCTGGTAGCACACTGACAAATTGAATTTCAAAAACTCCAAAATAATTGTGATCTGAAGTGGGTCTTCATGTTGCCTGTTTTATCCCTTCATGTCCTCGTCTAACTTCGATTGAATAAATACAGACGACTTCTATTATATCTGTAACTGGATTAATTCAAAATGTTTCTTAATGTAAGTACTTTAAAGTAATTGAAGAAGATAGACTCTATTACAGTTAAACATGATGCTGTTTTTGTTCCATTCTAATTGATCGCTTTTCTCTGATCGACCAACTGAATATGGCTGCTAGTCATTTATAAAATAAGTATCTGTCTTTATTTCTGAAATGTGGTGTTATGTACATTATTTACATTATTCGGACTATTGTCCTCATCTTTGTCGCCATATTTATTACAGCCTTTCGGCCGTTGTACGCTTCGGCCTTCTTCAGGTGGTTGGAATGTCGAACTGAACCCTTTATTTCACTCATTGGGGTAGACTGTTTTAGTTCCACGTGCCGTGTTTAATGGATGTCAGTTATTAGTTATCTCCTGTTAATTTCCCTCTGAAAGTTCTCCACTGCCTTAACTGAGTATTGAACTCACACTCTTTGGGTCCTGTCACTGGATAAAGGCGTTAGTTAGATCCAGTGTTAGGACTCAAAGAATGTGACATTCCGACCACCTGAAGAAGGCCGGAGCGTACAACGGCCGAAACGTTGTAATAAATAATTTATAAAATCAGTTATAAATTCGCTGGAATATATTCCATCTAGTCGTATAATAGAATGTATATTATTTCATCTGCAGGCCATAGTTGGGGATATGGGAGAAGAAAAAGAAGAAAGTTATTTATGAAGCTCAGCCGAATCTGATGGAAGGGAAATATGGGACGGAAGAGTGTACTGCGCCAATCTTCTGCGTTATTAACCACAATGCAGAGCCTCTACAATTTAAGTATCGCAGATTAAAATAAGGTCGGACTGCAGGAATTGTATCTGCAGAATGCATAGATAGAAACACAAGCAAAGAACAAAACAGTTTTATCAAATGTCAATCGGTTGAAAAGAACCTCAAACTGCAGGACTTGTGTCTATGTAATTACTTTCTACTTATCTTGAGATCGTAATAAAATAATCTGCTCTCCGCCAAAGAAGGATTTAATCCAAGTAGAATATTTACGTTGGATAACTGAATTATTAACAGTTAGCTTGTTCTCTCTTTTTATCGATTCAGCCAACCGTGACATCATTTAACTCCAGTAGCCTCGATTGTTGCATGGATTTTACAGTTAGGTAAGCAGTGAAATGGGACTAAAAAGAAAAGCATCGTTCTAAGTTTCAGCGACTCCAAGTAGCTTGGAGATTTTATTTCTCTTATAAGTTGAATGACGCCTTTAAATAGCGTGGACAAAAAAGAAGTGTTACCAATCATGAAACGAGTTTTCTACAATGATTTGATTTACGGGCAACTGTCATAAAGTAAAAAAAAAAATGTATTTCTCTTTTCATTTTTTCTAATCACTACTCATATATCTCAGCCTGTTCATATCTATCTATCTATCTATCTATCTATCTATCTATCTATCTATCTATCTGTTATGGGACCTTACCCATAATAAGATAATGGACTATTCCATACGTAATAAATACTGCGCCTGAAGAGGTGTTATAGTGGAACACACCTATTCTATAGTTAATAGACGCTCCCACCTATAATAAGTAGGAGTAGTAAGAGTAACGTAGCAGTCGGCAGTGAGTTGGCCAGTCAGTCGATGTCAGACGACCGTTAGTCGGATATTAAAGTATCAGCCACCACAACTAGATTACTGCGTCATTACCTATTATATCAAGTTCCTAACGTTTTGTACGTCGAACCTATTTTAGGACCGACTTAGTACAAATACAAGCCTCCACTGTGAAACCACTACATAACAAGAGAAAACAGAGAGTCAGTCTGAAGTCTGGAGTGAAGTCCGTCAGAAGTCTGTCAGTCAGTCAGTCAGAGCGAGCGAGTGAGTCAGTCATTCGAGTCAGAGGCAGTCCGAAACAAAGTCGCGTTCAGACAATTACTACTAAACCTGATTGTTTGTACTAACACTTTCTACTTCTCTGTATATATTCCTGTTTGTAATATATCTGTGTTATTTCATATACGTGTTCGAGTTCTTCTTTATTGGTTCTACCTTGGACTATCACCGTGGTACAAAAAACCGGACCATAACACTATCTATCTATCTATCTATCTATCTATCTATCTATCTATCTATCTATCTATCTATCTATCTATCTCAGTCTATTTATTTATTTATCTATCTATTTATCTATGGGCCGAGTGGTTAGAACGTTCGCATTCTGATCATGAGACCCGGGTTCGAATCTCACTTTCTGATGTTATCGAAATGGAGGGGCCGTTACCAGCGTGCAGCATCTTTGGAAAGTGCCTGAAAACCATACCACGGGTTGACCCAAGCCTTGTGAGTGAAATTGGATAGATGTCGATAGCTGTGCTAGCACGAAGTCACAAGTCATCGTGGCCGAGGGCTTGAGCGTGCTGGCCTTGTTCAAATTGTTGATCACGCTAAATAACACGCTCTTTCCCAGAAAGTGTAACTAAGGTCTGCTCAGCATAGTTGCATTATGGGCTCTGTGAATGTTGAATAAACACAAATGTGCCTGAGAGATTGGCTAGCCGCCCTAGTAGACGGGTATCCTCGAATACGAGTGGCCAGCTATACACATATCTATCTATCTATCTATCTATCTATCTATCTATCTATCTCACTTTATTCTTGTCTAACTCAGTGATGTTCAGAGGTTTGGTGATGCAGAGGCTCAACTCCTTGACTGTATGCCCCCAAGACTTAAGTAGGTGTCCTATAGAGTCTTATACTGAGAAAGAAAGACATTTAAATTATGTAAAAGCAGATGAAACATGAAATAAACACTTTATTCAAATTAGATATAAACTAAATTTTTATTTCACTCTTTGATTGGATACCTCCCAATATGGAAGCCCGGAGCCGTTGCACCCTCTGCCCCCACTTCTGCACGCTACTGCCACCGCTGATTGGAGATTGTGATAGTAGCATATTTGCTTCCAGGAATTACCTCCCTGGCAACACAGTTCTTGAGAATGTCTCAGACGGTCGATAGTACTTGAAGAACAAAAACAGAAAAAAATATGAAATTCGGGCAGCTTATCTACAATTTTGATATCGACATAAAATATCGTAGTCGAAAACTGGAAAAATATAAAAACAAAAAAAAAAATATGTAAGCATTTAAACAGACCTTGTCAGTTGAATCTAACAAAACATTTTGTGACGAACCCTCGTTGCTATATATATATACATATATATATATATATATATGTGTGTGTGTGTGTGTGTGTGTGTGTTTAAGTCTTTAATGTATGCACATCTTTAAGTCTTTAATAACATTTGCCTAAATACACACCCAGTTACACACCAGTATATATATATATATATATATATATATATATATATATATATATATATATATATATATATATATATATATATATATGTATGTATCGGAGAGGCACGGTAGAGTAGTGGATAGCGGTTCGGATTACATTCACTTACGTGCTAATATCCCTGGGAAAGATATTAATCCTCTTCTCCCTCCAGCTATGAATAAATAACATGACAGACTGGTTTCTATAGCCTTGGATGGCAACTAGTCTAGGAGAAGGACAACTCTGAATTCAAGACTTGCGGAGGGTCGTTGTGGCACGTAGTGCATCAGGTATGTGTATTCGGCACTTCAAAACGTGTGATTGGTTCTGCACAAAGATTTCACCACTATAATCAAATCATATGTGCTGGTGTCTGGCTGTCGGTTCCTAGGAACTGAGCTGCTTGACCCTCATACGTCGAATACGACGGGAGAGTTCGCTATATATATATATCTATATATATATATTAGAAATATCAAAAGAAAAACGATACTCAACTATTGGTGTCTTTCTACGATTTAAAGTTACATGTAGACCCAGTTTGCTATACGACTCTCTCTCAGGATGTTTAAGGAAGAGTTGTATATATATATATATATATATATATATATATATATATATATATGTGTGTGTGTGTGTGTGTGTGTGTGTGTGTGTGTGTATAAGCAGGGTAGATTGGGTTTTCTGGCTTTGGTTGTCAACCAGTCTAAGAGAAGGACATCTTGGATTGTGCATCGGATTGCCAATTCCACTCCGTAAAACCCACTTGCTACACAAGCGACAGCAGCAACGCCTATCATGATGAGTCTGTGGCTCTATACAAGAGAGTTTAAAGCACTTAGACCCTTTTCAATAAGTTATATACATAAGTTATATACATGGCTAGGGATATGTGAAATTATGGAACGTAAGGTCCAAATAGATTTGTCTAGATTTATTTTACCAAACTTATGTAAGTAAAAACGAAAAGGAATATTGATTTGTTTTTTACGGCTTATCAACCCTTTGCAGGTTATTTAAAGCCAGATAATATTTTGAGATTGTAAGATGTTTTGGAGATAATAATTTTCACTGCTACAAATTCTACTAATTAACCTATAGTTAGAAGGAGAAGATGTGGATTCATACCGTTCCCAGGGGTATTTGCGCGTAAGTGAATAGAATGAACACGACTGGAATTGGAACGCGGCTCTCCGATTACCAATTCCAAGCCGTTCTCTATTACACCACCCGCACATCCAAGCTTTACAGCTGGTGGTATTCCCAAGCGGTTACCCATCTAGGTAATAACCAGGCTCGACATTGTGTGGCTTCGATGATCGTACGGGAACCAATGTTTCAACGTGATATGGCCGTAAGCCGTACAAACTGAAATAGAAAATCAAAAGTAATGTTTATTTATTCCGCCCTGAAAAACAATCATCAGACTAGAAAGTTCAGGAATAGACATAGTCGAGTGTTTAGAACGTTCACTTTCCAACCACAAGATCCACGTTCGGATTTCACCATGGCCGATTTGTCGAGGAGACCTCTTTTTGATTTTATCAGCCTGGAGAAGCGATCTCAGCGTGCGGCATCTTTGGAAAGTGCCTGTAAACCATACCACATGTTAACCTAAGCATTGTGAGTGGAATTGAATAAACAGAACTGTTCAGAAGCCGTGCTAGCAGAAAGTAACAAGTCATTGTGACCGAGCGTTTGAGCGTACTAGCGTTGTTAAAACTGCTGTTCATGCCAAGTTATGAGCTCCTTTATGTAACTCAGGTGCGCTAAGCATAGTTGCAGTATAAACCATAGGTGATCTCTGTGAGCGTCGAACAAACACAGATGTGCCTGAGCAGTCGTCAGAAATAGGAAGATGCTAGCTACTCTAGTAGATGGGTGTGCTCTAAAAAGTGAAAGGTTGCTTAATTGGCGCCTAACGGGTAAGAAAATACAAGGGAGAAGATGATGAAAGAGAAGAAGAGTTTGGTGATAACATATAAAAGTGAACGAAACAGTCACGGTCATCAGTGAAATATTTGGGCAAGGTCTTTGTTCTGAAACGAAATGGAAATAGTTGCTGTTGATATATATATATGCAGAGTGTATAAAAAATACTTTTACATACTTTGGAGGCGCGTTCCTTATACCAAAACAAGGACAAAAGTCCATATAAACATATGTCTGCAAATCCTTCGTTTTTGAGTTGTTAAGTGTAAAGAAAGTTTACGGTAGATGGCGCTACGTTGCCATGTAGATTAGGTTACATTTGTCATTCGCCTTCAACGTTTAATGTGTTTAGTAGTGATTTGATTGAGAAGTGTTCCGTTTAACAATGGTAAGATATTAATATCGTGAACAATTAGATATGATTTTTACATCCGGCTGCGAGAATATTAGTGGACAAATGTACTCGAGTGACAAATGTAACCAAAGTTAAGCAACGTCGAACCTGGTCAATACTTTGGATGACTGCTTGGGGATATTAGGTACAGTAAGGTTTTTATGTGCAGGTGGTATTATAGTTAACGGCTGGAAATTGGAGTGCCGAGTTCCAATTTAAATGGAGTTCGTTCTCCGCGCAAATAACGTTGGAAAAGATATGAAGTCCCTTCTCCCTCCAGTTATGAGTTAACTAGTAAAACTTGTATCAGTAAAAATCATTATTATCTCCAAAAAATTCTTAAAAATCTAAAAAAAATTCTGGCTTTAAATATCCTGGAAAAGATTGGTAAGCCGTAAAAAAAACAAATCAGCCAGTAAAGGTGGTATTTGATTTGCATACTCACAGATGAAATATACGAGGCAATGTTATAAATAACTTGACTCGCTAGTCTTTGATGCCAAGGATGCAACTCTTAGTGATATGGTGGGAGTAATATCCGGGGGACGGATCACCGGTGTCAAAACATAGATTTTTTTTTTGTTTACTCTAAAGCCTGAAAATCATAGTATTAGGAATGTTAGTTTGTTTATTTAAAAGTGCAGCTATCAAACTTGCTAAATATGGACGAACCGGATGAGAGAAGAGAAAAGTCGGGGCTGTCATCGTAAACGTGGGACTCGTTTGTTATAGGTTCTCGGTGGGTTTATTTAGAGTGAAAGCACTTCAAGTATATTTTTCTGTTTCTGTGTTGGAAGGGAAGGGTGCTGCAAATGTAGGCGTGTGCGTAAACGTTTATGTCAGGTGTGTCACACTGTACAGGTATCCGTTGCAGCTGTAAGCAGATGCATAGAGATATTTATTCAGCTTGACGCAGTCGAGCTCAAGGCCAAAAAAAGAAAAAAAAATCAAGTGTAGTTTGGCACAAAGCCAACTTGTAAAAAATTATGGTAGACAGATTAATGAAACAATCTTCGAAACAGCGAGGGCTTTACTAGCATGAAAATCAGCATTTAAAATTCTTGCTTTACTCGGGTTTGAACACTTAGTACCATCGTGATACGCGCAACTGACTCATGAAGCTGACCTACATATGTATATAACGATATCTAATAAGCTTATCTCAGCAAAAGCACACGTATATGGCACCCAGTGAGGAGCTAACTGATTATTGTAGTACTGGTCTACAGCAAAGCGTCAATTGATATTTACTAAACTGAGTTTATTTGCTTTTTTGTTTGATTGTTTAGCGGCATATCGACTACTTATGGGTTATTTAATGCCAAAATTTAATTATCTTGGGGGCATTAGCAATTTCTTTTACAAAACTATTGTTGGTAATTTTTTATTTTTTTTTTAATTCTTTACAAAAATGTATTGTTGGTAATTTAAAAAATTTTTTTTACTGCTAAAATTTTTACTATGAAAATGGTATTTTTTTAATTTTTTACAAAAATGTATTGCTGGTAAATTTTTTTTACTATGAAAATGGCATTTTCAATATAATTATTTACCGACATTTTCATATAATTATTTGTACTTTCATAGTGTTTTGACCCCTTTTTGGGGGTTAACTATTTGTCCATAGTTGAGACCCTAACAGGTGTTACCACCGCGGGCCAGGATGGAACTGGAAAAAACAGCAATTAAGAGGTGGTTCCACACTCCTCAAAATCTCCCGATCAGAGGTCTTGCTGCCGGATGTAATTTATCGTCCTACCAAGGACGTAGTTTATTTATTTATTTAATCGTTTCACCCCAAGCAAGGTGATAATACCACCAAGACGCAAGAGGCGTACCGAAGTTGAAGTAAAATGAAAAAGCGTTAGTGAAGAGAAAGGAAAAAAAAACAGGACATAAAATAAGTTTTGAAACGGAAATTAAGAGAAAAACACGCATTGACTAATATCCGTTTCATTTTTATTCTTTAATATCATGAAAAATTAAATATTTTAGTGTTTAGCATCCCACTACCACCTTTCTTTCTTTTTTATCAATATCAATTTTCGTACAAAAAGTGGATCACAAAACTTATTCAGCTTAATGTATATTTTCAGAAAATCTCAACTTCTAATTGGTCACTTAATATTTAATAACATCGACCTAGTTCTTGACTTGACCAAAAAGATAATTCCCCCACAATCTATCAAGCTTCTGTGAGCCTGTCACGTGGCCAAAGTTAGCAATAAAATATGAAACGTCTTTCATCTTCGACAGTGCGCCGATCGGAATCCTTTGAACTCGTCACACAGTTCCAGGCTTTACGTTAAATTTCCTTAACATGATTCCAGCCTGAGAGAACTCATTCACACAGCAATATTTTATTATGAACAATCAACTCAAGTCTTCCACGTTCAACTTAATACACTAATTTTTTTCATACGCTTTCAAGCACAACGTTAATTATTGCAATTAACATAAGCATAGCTTGTTAAGAACTACTTACTCCAACTAGAATATTCTCTTCGAACAAGTGAAAACAAATCAAAGAGCGACAATTTCGTAAACCTTAAAGTAAGTCGTAAACAATATTTCTCTATTCAAATACAAACTTGAACTGTTTATTTTTTTCTTAAATTACAATAATACCCAAACACACTTTCTCATTATTGTAAAGACCATTCAACAAATTATAATCAATCAAACCGGAACTTTGATAACCTTTCATCTAGACATAAAAGGACGTTTGAATTTTTTAAAACTACCTATTTACTCCAGTTGTTTTTGTGTCTCTTGTTTATATAAATATTTTATTCATTGTTGTGCAAAAACTGTTTTTTTCTCATATTGTCCTTATTCTATGTTTGTTGAATACTGAAATTTAATGTGAGAGGAAATTGTTAATTTCATCACGCAGCCTAATTTACTCAACAATTTTTGATCAATATAATTTAATCATTAACACAACCTTCACAAGTGCAATAAGTACGAAGTTGAGATTTTAATGGATAATATGGTACAGTTTTTCAAAAGAAATTTTACATAAAGATGACTGTATTATGTGGATGACTGGATTATACTGAACGATGTTATCTTTCCCCTGTTTTAAAAACACTGGGTCGCATTATACTCAAATCATTTACAAGAAATATGGCCCCTCTCCTTCGTAACTCTATGTAATTGTTCTTCCAACACTTTTCTGCCATTAATTTAGACAAGCTATTCGGGTAGTTCACTTACTATTTTCATCTGACCCTCTTGCCTTCAATTGATCTTTTGAGTGTCGTATTCGCAAAGGCGACCTTTCTTATTAGTTAATAAGAACATGTTTTTTTATCAATATTTTGAGAAATTGCATATTATACGATGAATTTCCAAGGAGGTGTTATTCAGATAAACATCCTGAAAATTTGACCAAAATTCCAGCGTCAATAAACGTCTTTTGTCTTAATGACAGGGAACACATCGAAATTGATTAAATATTAATAAAGGGAATACACAAGATTTGCCATGTTTTGATAACATTAATGTTACAACAAAGATCCTTTCTCCGAAAATTCGAAAATTAATTTTGAAACAGAAATTAAAGAAGAAACACTTATTGGTTAAACATCCGGCCCATTTCTATTTTTTAATATCGTGAAAAAATAAATAGTTTACTGAAAATATATGTACGACATTGAGATTTTAATTGATAATATGATACAATCTTTTCAAAAGAAACTTTACATAGGCATGACTGTATTATGTGGTCGTATTATATTGAACGATGTTATCTTTTCCCTATTTTAGAAACACTGGGTCGAATAAATATTATACACATGAAAATGCCGTATAACAATATCATTTCAGTTACTGTTCATACGTTGAATGTTCGATAGATATATTGTCATTATGCCTTTATTAAAGAACGACAACTTTTTATTTATTTTCATAGTTTATTAATATTTAGTAATATAATAAAGTCATATCAAATCGAAAGAATATGATAGATTAATTAACACCTTAAAATCTATACTGGATATGTCTATTCAAAAATGAGTTACAAAACGG